TTTTAAGAAACTTGGGTGGAAATCTGGATTAGAGCATATTTGGTATTAATTGTTCTTGTAAGGCTCATGAACCTTGAAAATGTCTGTGAACATTTTAAGCTAAGATGTGAAGTGATTTTCCAAGACTAATTTGTGCTGGCAATGTCCAAGGCAGAATTGCAAACAGATGCTCTAGGTCTGCCTAGAAAACTAAGGGATTAGGGGATAAAAGTCTTCTGAATGATTAAAGATATTGCCAAAATAAATAAATATGTGGTCATCTGCTAAAACTAAATATATATAAGCACATAACCCCAAACCAAAGTATAAATCCTATGAAAATATCAGATAGATTAATATAAAATAGGCAGTGCCAAAACAGTTGTTTTAGGACACCAGAAGAACATGGTACAACTCTCTTTCTTTTGAAATTATTATATACTTAGTAGTGCTACCACATACAAAAAAAACCAAAAACACATTTGGGGGAAAAAAAAATCATTGAGATCTGGACTCTGTTAGCTAAGGATAAAAACAGATTATCAATTTATTAACACTTGTACACAGCCTTAGAAGGTGCTTTTATTTTCACAGGAACATTGCCTTGGAAAAGATTTTTTTTTTTAAGTGCAGATATTTTAGAATGCTGGCAAGAAAAATGAAATCCTAAATTAAGTCTATCATTATATTTAATTTCTGTAGTATTAAAATAACATATTCAAGATATCCTAAATTAAATGCAAACAGAGAAACTGGCAGAATAAAGCATCCTACCATTCTATAATCCCTATAATGTTTAACTGGAATTCTTATAAAAACATTTTAAAAAAATCTGTTAATGACCATTTTTGTAGTGAATTCATGCCATGCATTTTGAAAAAGGAATTACTTGTTCTAGGATCTCTCCTACTCCTAAAATTTTCTCATTCTGTTTAATTACCAAAAAATACAACTCTCCAAGTTATGACTTGAAGAAACCAATTAATTTCCCAAATACTAACTGGTTTTAAACTGTTCAAGCACATTTTCTAAGATAAGAAAAATTTTGTTTATGAAAGCATACTTAGCATGTATACATCAAAAAAAATTTACAAATTAGCATTTTCTAGTGGAAAATGTGTTTGCTGGATAAGTGAAGAGCTGCAGATAAAAATACTGGATAAAGGCAACTAGGTAAATGAAAGGAGGAAATCTACCTACTCTGGGAACGAGAACTTTGTGCTTTCTCCAATGTTGATTTCCAAGTCCAAAAGCCCTGACCTTTACAGCAGAATGCCATGACCTTGCTCAGCAATGGACTTCTACTGTACCACTGAAGTCTTTGACAAAGTTTTCACCTACTACACTACTGCTGGATGAATGCAGTAGTAGAAAAACAAGTCACTCAAGTGGGTCAGTTTCTTCCAGCAAAGATTGCTCTCCTCGGACCAGTGAAAAAGGAAATTAGCATTGACACCAGAAACACATCCTCTAGGTTTCAGGTCAGACCAGAAACAGACTGACTGTGCACTAATACAATGCAAAAAAACCACAATTTTTGATGGTGTTAGCTGGGGAAATTGGGGTAACTACGAGCTGCAGCCCTTGTGCTGTGACCCAGCTGAAAGCAGCAGTCAAGCCAGCATGTGAAAAGCTTCAGGCACCCGCAGCACTCTGCAGTCAGTCACTCTTCAGCACAGAGACACATTGAGTCACACATTTTGTAACAAAAACAACCCAAAACCTGACCTTGGGAAAAAAACTCTTGTGCAAAAACTTCAGCACTAACAGAAAGCTGTTTAAGTGATTGCTGTTCATAAGTAAACCACCCACATAGTGATTGGCAGGAATTAGTCCATTCTCCAAATGTAACACTCACTGACATATTTGTCAACAAACACCAAAGCTATAGGCATGTCTGCTTCAGGGATTAGGGAAACAAAGGGAAGGGAAAATAGCAAGTATAGATTACACCAACCTAAGAAGAGATTCCTAAAGATTTTCAATTCAAATCAAGTTTTGTGGGGACCATTCTCTGGACCCTTCATAACTCCAAGGAGAAAGCAGCATGCAGCTGTGGAGAGATGCTTACACCACAACTCAGCACAGAAATCACAGAACCATAAAACCTGTTAAGTTTTGTGAAATGTTTAAGTCATCATGTCCCACCTCCTTCCCAAAGCAGGGCTGACTTTCAGAGGCTGATCAGGTGCAGCACAATCTGTTCAGCTTAAATATAAGTGCCAGTGAAAATTCCACAATCATCAACTCCACTGATCTTGCTATATATCTATATAATCATTTCTCTGAAATGAGTACAAACCATTTATTTGTACTGGTGAGCAGCTACCAACATGAGTTGAGTCACCAATTCCTCTTGGTGACATCCAGGAGACACTGACACTCAAATTGCCACCCTGGGATCCAAGAGCAAGTATAGAGAATCAAGAGTGAGTAGAGAGGGATAGAGCAAATCCCTCTTTGTGAGAGCTGCTGGAAGAGATCATTATTCAGCATCAGTAAGCATAGGTCATACATACACCACCTGAAAATCCAGTTCTTTCAAACTGTCTGAAGGCTCTAAAGGAACACTACCAAGTATACATGACACTTTTTAACAGTCTCTTCCCATACCACAGGAAAAAAAAGGAGAAAAAAAAAACCACAAACAAAAAATAAACCACAAAAAAATGGAGGGAGGAAAAAAAACCCCACACACAAACTACCACCCAAAAAATCAAAAGAAGGAGATTCCTTTATACTTTATATATCGACACATTTAAGAATGTTACTTTTAGGGACAAATGGCTAGAAAAAGTAGTAACTAAAAGTAAAACTAAACCTCATTTTAAAAAATAAAAATCATACACATATTTAATAAAAATAAGTATCGATAAATGGCAGGAATTACATAATTTTTTGGTAATTTCTGTAACCAGGAAGCTTACTATATTTAGGATAAAACCTCAAAGTGCTTGCAATTACCTATTCATTCAATAACTCCACAAATACTGTTAAAAAAAATAAAGCAGTTGTCTGGTGAAACAATTTAGCAAATCCATCTGAAAGAGGATGGAACATCCATATACAATAACATTGGGAGTTTGTGACAGAGATTCCACCATTCATCAATACCAAAAAAGGAAAGGAAAGGTTATACAGGTTAATAGATTGGGAATATCCATAATTGACTTTGATATTCCACTACACACAACACTTTCCAGTGATCCCTTACCTGCTGGAAAATTTGTATGAATCAATGTTTTTTCCATGCTCAAGATACAAAACTATGAAGACAGACTATAATTATACAAATCTCTACTACAATACATAATTTTAAGACAGTATCTGTTTACAGTAACAAGAAGAGGACAAATATATCCTCAACTATAGATACTCAAGTGAAAGCGATGGCTTAAATACAAGACGCAACTTGAAAACTTACATTCTCACATTGCAGATTATCTTTTCTGATACAATATTTGCAATTACGAAAGAAAGCTTTCTCCAAATCCTCCTCTGTCCCCCACTTCATGGGTGCTGAGGGGGAATTCTTAATTTTTTCCCCTGTGAACTTGCAGGTTCAACTGAACTCTAAATGAACAGGTATCAATTAATTTCACTTCATTGTTTTAGTTCTATGCAACTGATTATTTTCTACAATGCAGGAAGAGGCAATGGGTGACTGTCTTAAATTCTTGAAAACTTTTAAGTACTGTGGCATCAGTTTCAATTCTGAAACATTACAGCAGGAATTTAATTTTTACTTTGTTTGGAAACAACAAAACAGAGAATGAAATAGGAAACAAGGTTAAAGCATCAAGCAAAGGCAAGAAATAAGGAGGCAGACAAGAAAACCATCCAACTTTAGAGACCCAAGTCCAAAAGAGCCCAGGGCAGCGATTTAGAGGAAGAGCCACAGATGTTGATCACCCACCCTGGCAGCAGACCAGCATCTGCAGAGACAGGCAGACTCAGAGCAACATCACCTTCAGCCCCCTGCCTTTCCAGCACTGTTCAGTGAGCAAATACCACGAGAAATGCACACAAGGGCACAGATGGACATGTCACAGACATCTTTCATGAAAAATCCTTTCTTAGGATTTTTCCTTGTGAGAAGCTGCAGTTTCAGCAACCAAAAGTAAACAATGGTTATCTGCTGCTGTGGAATGCAACAGGTAGACCCGTGATTGGTCTCCTGTGGATGTTGGGATTTCCTGACCACTCATGGCAGAGCTGGCTCTTGCTCTCTGTCTGAGACACAGATCTTTGTTATTCATTCTTTTCTATTCTTAGCTTAGCTAGCTTCTGAAGAAACCTTTTCCTTTCTATTTCTTTTTAGTATAGTCTTAACATAACATAGATCATAAAATAATAAATCAAGCCTTCTGATCATGGAGTCAACATTCTCATCTCTTCTTCATCCTGAAAATCCTTGTGACTACGGTCACAGTGGACACATGTACCCTGCTTGCCAAGGACATGCTGCCTCTCCCTCTTCCACAGGGGCAATTTGGAGCACTCCAAATTTCTCTTGCAACCAGTCACTGCTTCCACAAAATCCTCTTATGTGCTGGAGGCTTCAATGAGATCAAACACCAATAGTATCACCAAGCCCTGTCAGTGGCACTGGGATTACACATTAGTAGGCTTGACTAAATTTAGTGCTACACAGGGAGCTGCTCTAAAGAAAGACAAATGTAGCTAACCTGTGAAGGTTTGATACTTAATGGAAGACCAACTCTAGAATAAACACAAGTCAGAACAGCAAGGCAGACTCTCAGACAGGCTTTGTAGCCACTTCATCTCAGCTCTATTTGTATGTTACCCCATGATGCACTTCAATAAAATTTGGCAAGAAAATCCTTCAGCATAGTAACAGTTGAGCAGTGTTTGCATGCCCCACAGGAGTCACACAAGGACTGATGCTCTCGCTAATGTATATAAATGGCTGCCTGAAGCTTGCACAGATGCTCTACTGTGCATCTGCACAGTGTTTGTGGTCATTTTGAAAAGCCTTTTCCCAGTCTGCTGTGGAATACCTGCTTCTAGCTTCCTGATTTGGGGAATAAGCTTCACCATCAAATGGCTTAATGATAATTGCCTCATGTTCAATCTGTTACGAACATAATGCATGATACTCCTGCTTCACTTTGAGGAACAGTTGCACATAAAGCAGAACTCACAGTAGCATTTAGGTAGATGATAAACATAGCAATTTCATACACTTTGGAGTCTGCACTTTAGTTCCTCTACACAAGTCATGCAGTTTTTAAAAACTGATAAATTTTCCCCTCCAACACAGCTCCAATCATACTGCCTGTGAGCACTAATTACAGACTAATCAATGGTAGCCCATACTCCTTCCTAAATGGTTTACAAAGAATGAATAATAAAATTCTATTGCAAATGGAAACAGATTACCTTATTAGCATAGATTCTGGGTCTGCATTCAACCATTTACTATCAATGACAACAAGAATTACTCCACAGTAAAATTTCCTTGCTCGCTCTCAAGTAGAAAAGAAAACTGGGTATTTACTGCTTATGCATGGAGGGTTGAATGCAAGAGTTCTCAAAGATAACCTTAATCTAGCAGCAAGATGATTACTAAGAAAAAAAATAAATAAAGGCAATGAATTTAAGATCACAAGGACAGAGAATTGTTGCACATATCAACAATTTCCTGCTACTTCCACATTATTCCATTTGCATCCAATGAATTACAATGACTCAGGAGCCAAAAATGTCCCCTAAAACAGACAAAGCTGCAATAATAGAGAAGAAATAATTTCACACACTGTTACACTACACCTTCTCTAATTTTTCAGATACTCTGCCACTCTTACCTTGAAATTTGGGAGAAAAAATCATGTCTTCAAAAAGCCCTGGTATATTATGGTGGTTTCACTTTGATATTCTTTTTTTTTTTTAAGTACCATTTTCTTCAAATGTATATGTAGATTTGGATTTCACAGAAGCTGATGATCAGTCAGCAGCTGCAGGTGATAAAGCCCATACTTCTGCCAGAAGAAAAAATGTTGATAACTTGACTATTTTGTAGAAGACAGGAATGATTTGCAATTAAACTGAGTTTTGAATGCATCTAAATTAAGAACTCAGCTGCTGTGTAAGAACTGTATCAAAATAATTACATTCCAACTCCAAAAAGAAGGAAAATGATTATTTGAACATATATCCAGATGTGGATCTGACTAAAGTTACTTTGTTTCACTGAATACTTTTTAATATTCAATATTGTAACATATGTGCATACTGAAAGCTCTCAGATATTTACCATCTAACCACACTTGGCCAGAAATACTTTATATATGTAACAGCTATAAACCAATTTAAAAGGCAATCTGTTTAAGTGTCCATTTAAAATGGTGCACAACTTCTAATTTTCCTGCCTATTTCCCTATCTAGACATGAGACAGACAATACAATACTGGTTCAAAACACAAACACTGAATGAGATGACACATTATTACACCACTCGTAAATTTAGAGTGAACAAGTTCAACAAGATTTATATTGTACAAAACAAAAGCTATCTGTAATATGCTATTTTTGCCATAAGGATTATTACTATAGTAATGTACTCACCACAAAAGTAGTACAATTAGTAAACATTATTGCAGGCATAAATAGCTAAGGCAATACCCCCCAAAAAAATTGCCAATTATTTTTAACCATTTAAAAAAAAATACAAGAGATATTAAGGGATATACCTGTTAATTATAACCTGAATTTCTTTTTTCCTCTATTTAACAAAAAGAGTCAGTCATAGGTAATTTTTGTTCAAAAACAAACACACACACATCAATACGTACAGTAAGTTTATTTGTTCTCCTTTTTCTAGGGGCCATGTGGCACCAGCCCAACTAACCAATGAAAACAAAGATGCAAAATGAGATTTGGCAAACCCATAATTTTTGAGTTTTACAAAGCAGTGACAGTATCAAGAAAAAACACATTGAGTATGAGTTAAACCCAAGAAGGCAAAAGTAAAATCTCTGATAATTGATACCTAAGCACCACTTGGGGAGAATTACCTGTGAACTTCAAATCACCTTGAAGCTTATAAATGTCTTTTAAGATTGTTTGTACTATCAAACCTATCTAATAAGGGCAAAGAGCATGGTGACCACTGTCAAACTAATTGTTCAATCAAGAATCAGTAAGTAAAAGGCATTAGCTCTGTTATGCTCCATTGCATTCAGTTACATCTTTGATAACTGCCCCGTGGGAGTTTATGGATCCTACATGACCCCTGTCGAAACTCAATTGACTTCTTCCCTGCAAATTCTATTAGAATTGGTCCCTGCATCACTGCCCACAATAATCAAGAGCAGAGAGACTGATTTATGTATAAGCATTTTCTTGTAGTCAGTAGAATATAAACTAGATGAGGTTACAAGATAGCTGTTTAAAAAAGTCAACTGCATCCCATTTTGTATGACAATTTTTTTTAATGATATTTTAAATCTTTACTTTCAAAACTGGAAAAGCTTCAGGAACAAAGGGGAGGGAAAATTAAAAATAATTTTGTCTAAATATTGGTCTTTCAAAAAGTACCATAATTCACCAAAAAGAAATCATAACTTACATAGCATGCAAATGTAACTGCTCCAAAGTTTACTTACAGCAAGAAGCATTAGTCTTACAGATTTCAAAAGTTCCTAGTAGGAGCAAAATTGAACAATTTCTTGAGAAAGCATATGCTATTTATTAGCAAGTTTAAATATCCACGTTAACCCTTTTTAATAGGCTTGGAAACCTCAAACAAGGAGCTCATAATCCTTCATTTTCCTGTAGTTACTGACTTTCCTCTGCTATAAATATTTAGCACTGCTCAACTCCTCATCTCAGCTTATATTTTTAATACATTAGAACTGACCAACACTCTAAAATCTTCATAACATGGAACACTGGTACAACAAATGTACTAACAAAACTTAACGTACTTCTTTTTCATTATTTTAATTTTAGTCCTGATTTTCTACAGTTTAAATTATCCTACAAAGAAGGATCCGAGTAACTTTATATATAGAAGTTGCTCTCATCATTATGAAAGTCCTAAGAAAATCTTTTAAAAATAATTATGAAATGATGAGAAGTACATACTTATGGAAAAAAAGCAGATAAATTTCATTAGCCAAATACCATACTTTATTACACAGGACAATGAAAGCAAGAAACACATCAGCTATCAGTTTCATGGAAATCAGAGAATGAACATAAGCATAGTAAAATTTCAGGAGGTTATGATAAAGGTTATAGAAGTTAGGAAGGGACCATTCTCAGGAATGTTTGCACATATGGAAAACAGAAGGGCAACATAACACAAAATGCAAGAGATAAGCAGACTACATCACCACCAAAAACATTTAACCACCACTAGTTTAAATGCACTTTGGAAGCAATTTGAAGCCATGCAAAGACAGTCAGAGTACTTTAAACACTTGAACTAGATACCAAGATAGAAATTCCAGAAGAGTTAAGCAGCCAATGAAGAAAGTGAAGGGAAGGATTTGAACAGTCCCAACCACAGAAATTATGTACCTCCAATGCAGCAATTCGAAAAACCTGTAAATACAGCAGAACTGATACTGAGAACAGAGCCTTGCATAAGCTGACTTCACTATCCTAATGGAATAACCCCTCTGCTGGTTTGTTTTAAATGGATAAATCCTTCCATTAAATATATTGGCTAATTGTAATTTTTACCCAGAGAGCAACCAATATCTCCCTGAGATTACAGGAAAATTCACACAGCTCATTAACCAAGTAACTACTTTTACTGCCATAATCCTGACCACTAAAAATCAAGATGCATCTCTCAATCAGGCTTGTTTCACTCTAGTTTCATGAATCCAGAATATGTCTGTCTAAATCAAATTGATCTAAAATTTGGACTAAAGACAGGAAAAGTAAAATTCAGATGAATACATACTGGTTGTCAGAAAGCCACATATTTACAGCAAGCTTTTTTTAAGAACAAATCTTGCAGTTTTGTAGCCAAAATGTGCAGTACCTATATGACCATAAGCCTACCCCTCCAAAGAATTCAACATTTCCTCTTTCTCCAGCAACGTGCAGGTGTTTAAATGCCAAAAAAATATATCTTGCAGGTGACCAGATCAGCTGGTAACCACTCTTCAGCTACATACATAGAAAGTGCTCTTCTTGAAATCCTTTTTTGCACAACCAACTCCTCTACCCTTGCTCTCTCTCAAGAAAGATGATCTGTGCATGCCCTCACATCTCACCCCTCCATCCCAGCAAACTGCAGCACACATGGTCCATTACATTGTTGGCCAGCCTGCTGTGCCACCCCACTCAAAATAAAGCACACACATCCCTCCAGGCAAACTTCTCCCCTTAATGCTCCATCTCAGCTACTTCAAACTTTGTATCTAACAGCTCTGCAAAACCCTGAGCAGAGGGGCTACCCCACCCTGAGCCTGATGGAACCCACCTTAACATGGTGCCATTCTATTTCCTTCTATAAAATTCATTAACAAAACAAGCCATATTCTAACAAGAAAAATACCTAAGGAAAAAAACCTTTCAAAGTCTAAATAAAAGCATGAAGGCCCTAAGTAAGGAAGTATTTATTAAAGCCCCCACACTGGCATGAATTTCAATTCATGTAAGGTACAGTTAATAAGACCAATTGGGAGGAAGATCAAAACAGTAACAGTAGGAAAAAAGTTGTGTATTTCCATATCTTCAAATTCTTTTAAGTATCATCAATAGATCATTCTTTTAAAAATACCTGCAACAGATATCTGCCATAAATTAAAACCAACAAAAAGTACAACTTTGATTCATATTTTAAATTTGCCTCATAGAGAATATTTATTAATTGCACTTATAAAATATACTGCTAACAAGCCTCTGTCACACAAAGTATTTAATATCCATGCAAAATTTACTACTTTCATCAAAGAAAAAAAAAATACACCTCCTAAAAATACACTAAAGCCATATGACAAAAACTACACATTGTTTGCATATGACAAACATTACAATCTTT